TGTGTATACTGATGCCTACGGAGCATCTAGATCGGCACCTGCCTGGCCAGGAGCAGACGGTCAGTACGTCAGGGACCTGCTGGGACCTGGGTTTCTAAAACACAGCGCCAATGACCGGCAATACAGATGCTTTCTGTGTTTGCTGGGGGTGAGGGGGGTGGAAAGGTGGGGAGCAGCATTCTTGGGGAGAAAAGCTCTCTGGGTTGCTCCAACGAGATATATGTTTTCCCCTTGGAATTGCCGCCACTGAGTCAGGTCAGACACAATCTTCTCGACCTCTCTCCGGATTCTAAGGTGAGAATGTGGTTTTCAGGCAGCAAATTTCAGTCAAGACAGGCTCCTCCTCCCCCTCTCCCAGGGGGTAATGAACCTTGGCCTCAAGGCTCATTAAACCCCATTATATAATCACCCCCATACCGAGTCTCTTTATAACCCTTCCGGTGGCTGGTTTCTTGGGAGTAGGCAGTTCGGCTTCATCGGTCTTTTTTTTTTTTTTTTGAATGTTAATTGGTTTTAACTTTATTAACTTGTTTGTCACGGAGTCCCTTAAATGCTGAGATTTTTCAAGTATATTTCAACCTTCATCGGTCTTTATTGCTACCTGCTGCTGCCTCCTTCCCCAAATCAGGCGCCCGCCTCAACCCCAGGCACACCAGGCAGAGGGACAGCTGTCTGTTGCCTGGTCCCCAGGACAAAGAACAGGAGCTGCTTGGAGAAGAGCTGGAGAGAGGGCAGAGTAAGATGGGGGAGGGGAGGGCATGCCGCCTTCTAAGACACCTCCTCAAGTATTTCATGAGACAGGGGCCTTGGACAGAACTCCAGCTGGTGTCATTAGGACCAAGATGGGGACGTCCAGGGACCATCAGTCACTTGTTCCCTCCAGTGGCTGCTGCCCTGAGTGCTGGACCCCCACAGGCAGCTCATAAAGAAGCACACAGAAAACTGCAGGGGGGAAGTACCCTGTCATTCCTCATCCCCAGGACGGATGAGGTGCAGAAGCTGGAGCTGCATTCTTGCAGCTGCCGGTCCCCCACCCCCACCCCAGGGATGGCCACCACCTGGGACCATGGATGCTCTGAATATCGATCGACACTGAGTCCTGGGCAGTACCGACTGGTGAGCCAGTACGGGCACTGCTCTCTCGAAGGCAGCCTCGGGGCCAGGCTGTTCTCCCAGCTGTGCAAGTGCGACAACCTGAACAAGGTCCCTATACTTGAAGAGCAAGCAGGCTTCCGTGAGGGCGGCTTTGCGATCTCATTCCGCAGGGGATGGTAGGGTGGCGGGTTCCGAATGAGTGCAAACTCCACCTCCTTCCCGACTTGGTGACCTTGGGTCAGTTCCGTAAACTCGGCCCCAGCTGCCTTGTCTATGCAATGGGGTACCAAGAGCACCTACCTTATGGAGGAGTGGGAAGCTTACGTGAAATAACAGGTGGAAGCTGCTTTAGCCAGCTTGGTGGTGCCTGGAGCCTTGTCAACACACAATAAATGCCAGTGGCTATTACTGTCACCGTTTTCATCACCGTCACACACTATCCCAGCGCACAGCGTACAGCAATCACTCCCAACGCCACCCTTTATTGGAACCTGGGGCTCAAAGCCCCCGCCCTGTGCTAGGACATTCACATGCATTCCTCATTCTGTCCTCACTGTCTGTCCCTGCAGGCAGAGCCGGGCTCAGGGCTCCGTGACTCGCCCAGTGACACCTCAGCAACCACTTAGTTGCTGTCAAGCCGAAATCGCTTCCACCAGCTGGTAATGTATGAAATGGTTCCCTCCATCTAGCAGGCATTTTCTCATTCTGAAGAAGCCTCTTTACAGGGGTCATAGAGGCTGCCTGACCTAAGGCAGCTGGGCTCAGAGAGACCCTTCAAGGGGTCACTGGCAAACAGCTTGTTGGACCAAAAGCGTGCAGGGCATCTGATCAGATGGTCCTAGGGCAGCATGGCCAGCGAGAAGGCAACGTGAGGAAATGCAGCGGGGACGGGAGCCAAGTCCACCGCCCTCTGCTTCTCTGGGGAGCCGTTCCCTCCTGAGTCAGCACCTTCCACGGAGCACAGTGGAAGCCCATCCTCCTGTTCTGTGCATGGCTAGCCTTGGAGACAGATCCCTCCATACTCGGGGCTCCTGCCACTCCCCTCCCTCCCCAGCTGGTCACCCCCAGACCAGGGAAGTAGGACAAGTCCTGAGGAGGTGAAGTCCTCACAGCCCATCCGAGGTGGCTCGCACCCTGAGGGCCCGAGGCTAGGCTCAGCTCGGTCCTCCTCAGCCTAATGCTGTCTCCCGGCACTACAGTCGGGGGTAGTAAGATGGCATGTCATCTCCCCTCACACCGAAGCCTCAGCCAGGGCTGACAGTGACAAACCGGTAGGCAGACTCGGCCTGGTAGGGACACCGCCCCAGGGGCTCCCTTGGCTGGCACGGTGGGGGGGTGGGGGGACTAGAGGCAGGAAGTTCTCTTCTGAAACTCAGAGTGGTGGGAGAATGGGACAATTAAAAGCAGGGTGGTGGTGGGGGGGGGCGGGAACCAGCGCCCAGCAGCTGTGTTCTCCCAACAGCCCGGCGCGGAGTCTCCACACCAGCCTTTTCAGTGAGTCAGGAGGTACCCAGGGGAAGCTCACTGGGTGAGCCTTAGGATTACAGAGTTCCTAAGCTCTGAAACAGACCCTCGTGGAGTCTCTAATTGTCTAGTTGGGGAAACTGAGACCCTGGGAGATAGAGACAGGAACTCACTGCAGGAAAGAGATGGAATCTGAGCAGGCTAGAGTTGGGCCTGGGTTCAAAACCTACCACCCAGGCAACATCATTCACCTTGGAGCCTCAGTTTCCTTATCTGTAAAATGGGAATAACAATGCCTGCCTCAAAGTGTGGTCAGCCTTGACGGTGGCAAGGCAGGGACAATGTCACACTGGCAATTGGTGGCAGCACGGAGACTCGGCGAGCTTCCCGCGGCCCGATGTGGAGCCCGTGCCACCAGGCTGCCTCGTTCTGTCATTTGTTAGGGTCAACGCAAACGGGGCTGGTGTGCAGGGTCCAGCTACTACTTGTTTACACACTCATTCTCCCAGTGAGGCTCCATGCACTCGTCCTCCTTTCAGAGAGACCCAGGGACCTCCCTGTCCACAAGGACCAGCGCTGCCCCAAGAGGCACCTGTGCTCCCAGGGCCTCTCAGCCAGGAGCTGCTCCCGCCACAGGCACAGGGAGAAGCTGCGCCTCTTGGAGGGAGACCAGCGCAGGTGCCAATGTTGGGAGCCACGGTGAACTCAGCCCGGCTTCCTCGTCTGCAACTCTCTCTGGCAGGAGGCGAGATCTAAATGTGCCAGCCCATGTTTGTTTTGTTTTTAAACCAGCTATAGGTGTTTCTGCTCTGGCCAGACCGAAAGAACAGAGCTGGGGCCAAACCCTCGAGGAGGGGCTAGAGAAAAGAGCTGATACATATCCTAACAGCTGCCAGTGATGAAGCACTTCCTGTGCAGACAGCTCGACACACATGCGCTGATCTAATCCTCACACACATCTATGAGATGCCTCTATTGTGATCCCCATTTTATAGACGAGGAGACGGAATCTCAATGAGGCTCTCCAACTTGCTCAAGGTCAGGCACAGGGCTCAAAAGCAACCACGGTGGGACTGGAACCCAGGCACTTCCCCTAGGGCAAGGACGTCCTGCCTCCCCCCACTGTCTCACTCTCCTGCTACGTCATCACATCTTTTCCTCACCCGGGCTCACTGAGCCACCCTCCGACAGCCACATGCCTGCCACACAGGCCAATGTCACGGAGCAGGTCTGGCCTCTGCAGTGATCCCTCCTGACTAACTGGTAACTGGCTTTCTGGTGCTGCCGTGGGCCGTGAGCGCTATTTTGGTCTGCTTCGTTCAGGGCCTGCACCCCTGGGCCTAAACAAGCCAGGCTCTGGAACTTTCCCTAACTTGCCCTAGGTCCACATGGGCCTCCTGCTCCCACGTGGATGCAGGCTCCACATCAGTGGACTGCAAACTGAGCTCGGCCCCGCTCCTCCTGAGTTCCCAGGAAAGAAAATATCTTGTCTTGGCCCTGGATGGTGTGCTCAGTGGTTAGAATGCCGGCCTGCACACCAGAGGGTCACCTGTTCCAATTCCAGTCAAGAACATGTACCTGAGTTGCAGGTTCGCTCCCCAGCCACAGTTGGGGCGCATGTGGGAGGCAACCAGTCAATGTGTCTCTCTCACATCCCTATTCCTCTCTCTCCCCCTCTCCCTCTCCCTCCTCCTCTCCCCCTCCCTCTCCGTCGCTCTCTCCACCACCTTCCCCCCTCCCCTCCACTCTCTCTGAAAAGCATGGGGAAAATGTCCTCAGGTGAGGGTTAGCGACAACAACAGAGAGATCTTGTCTTGGCCAGAAGACTAGCTGGGCTTTCCTCAGGGGCTCCCCTCTGAAAGCGGCTGTGCCTGTTCTGCAAAACGGGCCTCCGGGAGGAGAAGATTAAGTGCCCTCTAAGACCTCAGCCCTTGATCGCCAGAAAGTTCCATTTCCGCTCTGAGTAATAACAACTTTATCTGCAGCAGAATCCACAGGAGCAGAATGTAAACCACCCTGGGCCGTGCTCAGCCCAGTGTGAACCCAAGTGCATGTTGGCGACGTACAGGTTACACTGTGCTGACCTGTGTGGGGAGGGTGAAATAACAAAACATAATCACAGGAGCCTTATCCACACAGAAAGAGAAACAGGAGAGAGAAAAAGCTGACATTCCCATCCTTGAATTCCCTGCACGCTGGCTTCCCTCTGTTATCCCTACACACCTGCCGGGCCAATGACAACAGCCAGTCGACCTGGAGCACCGATGACACCCCTTCCCTTGAATCCATTCAAAGAGGCGTGTGTGGCGCAGGTGGGAGGTGGCAGGAAGACGCAGATGAGGCGTATTCGGGGAACGTTTCAAGAGCATTTTCACCAAAGAAAAGGAACACAGAGAGAGCGTGCACCTGGCAGAGAGCGCAGCCCTGGCACAGGGACTTACTTGAGGAGAAGCTGGCCTCGCTGTGGACCGGAGGGGTGGAGGGCAGGAAGGGCCCTTGTCCCACGAAGAAGGAGCGGAGGGAGCGCTCGCACAGGAGCGGGGAGCGCTGCTGAGCTGGGATGTTCTCACAGCTGCCCACGCTGCTATGGATCTTGAGGTTCAAGGGCTTGCTTTTCTTCTTGGCTCTGGAAGGAGGACAGAGAGAGGGAGGTGTGTGTGTGTGCGCGCGCACACGCGCGCACACACACACACACACAAGAGCAGGGAGAGCCCATCTCCTTAGCGCGGCGCCCAACACCCACTCCCACCCTGACCGGGCCTGCGGCCCTCGCCAGCCCCGTTTCTCACCTCCCACCCTTGGCTTATGCTGGCCCCAGTGCCAGGAATACCATCCCCTTCTTTGCCTGGTTAATCCCCATCTGTCTTTTTTTTAATTTGTTTACTAAATTGATTGGGGTGACATTGGTCAACATGAACATACAGGTTTCGTGTGTGGGTTTCTATGTTACACGATCTGTATATTGCACCGTGTGCCCGCCACCCAAAGTCAAATCTTCTCCTGCCACCTGGTATTAGGATCCCCCTCCCCCCTCCATCTTCCCTCTGGCTACCACCACACTGCTGTTTGTGTTCTTAAGGTTCAGATTTACATCGTATTAGGATCCCCCTCCCCCCTCCACCTTCCCTCTGGCTACCACCACACTGCTGTTTGTGTTCTTAAGGTTCAGATTTACATCCCACATGAGTAAAATCATATGGTTCTTAGCTTTTTCTGACTTATTTCACTTAGCGTAACGCTCTCAAGGGCCATCCATGTTGTGCAAATGGCACTATTTCATCCTTTCTTACGGCTCAGTAGCATTCCACTGTGTACATGGATAAAGAAGACATGGCTCCTATGCCCACTGGTCCTTTATGACTTGTCCCTGGGGTCCTCCCTTCCAGGAAGCCTTCCCTGACACCCAATGCCCCCAGCAGGGCCGAGTGTTCTCCCTCTAAGAAGCCCTGGCTTGGGTTGGCTGTTCCTCCTCAATTCTCCTAAAATAGTCTGTATATGTTTCTGTGGCTGTGCTTTCCTATTTTTCCAAATTCGCTCTTTCAGTTTTTATCATCCAGGTGGACTGAGTCTTTGAAGGCAATGATTCTGTATTGTTCATTTCTCTGTCCTTGGCAAGTATAGCACAAAACCTGCACACAGTAGGTGCTCACTGAATGCTGATTCAGTGCCCGATCTGGATTAAGACTCTGGCACTTACCACACTGCATTCTAATACCCTGTCTTCCACACTCGACTGCGGGCTCCTTGAGGGCAGGAACCTGTGGTTTCCATTGTTGGTGCTCTCAGATCCTTGCTTGGCACCCGCTGAATAGAATGAACCTCCCCAGCTGGTTTGGAAACATGCCCCCACTTCTGAAGAGCTTAGGTGATCAGGTTATGAGAGTTTGCTTTAAAATGGCATCCAAAGCTAAGCTCACTGTTCTCCCCACCTCCTCACAGCACCCCACTCAGGTCTGGCCAGGAGTTGGGCGCCCTCTTGTGGCCAAAGTGAACCCTCCTTGCAAATGCCCAAGTTCTGGAAGGAGCGCCCAGGATGGTGTGTTCATGTAAGACTGGAGGGCTCCCATGTGAGCAGCCCTGCCCCGGCGCCTGCTGCTCCACCGCTGTAAGGAGCCCAGGGGGGCCCACGGAGCCGCCCCTCACAGGGCCCGCCGTCAGCCCTGTGTGTCATCTCCCCAGGGGCCTGTGGCCAGGCCCAGGATGTGCCTCCCGCTGCAGCAGCACCTGGTGGTGGCTCTCCCTGGCCATGGCGGAGAAGAGCAGGAAGCAGGGAAGCGGTGGCATTCATGCCACACGAGTACCCAGTGGTGCAAATCCAAAGAGACAGTGTCACTTAGGAGTGAAACTTCCCGGCCCTGGGGTCAGGGAGACCAGGCTCGGGTCCTGACAGTGACCTCAGAAGAGTGCTCTCACCTCTGGGCCTCAGTTTCCTCAACTGGACAGTGAGAAAAATAACAGCACCTACCTACGGGGTATGTCATGACAATTCTACGAGATCATGTGCCTGGCACAGGGCCTAGCACAGAACGAGGGTTCAGGTCACCCATTGTTAACGTCACTATGATCAGGTTAAATTCGGTGTCTGTGTAGCATGGGAAGAACCTCAAAGAAGCCAGGCTGCGTTTTTATCTGAAACATCCACCAACTCTCAACTCACTCCCCCCGACAAATGAAAAGGGTGCAGTCAAACCCTATAGCCTGTGATACTGCTGTCATCCCCAAACCACAGATGGGAACTGTGAGGGCCACCAAGTGACGAGGCCAGGTCCTTGTACAACAAGCATGTCAAACTCAAGGCTAACATGGGCCAAATAAACGCCACATGCGGGCTGAGGGCCACAAGTTTGACATGCTTGTTGTACAAGGAGAACCAAGTCTAATCCAGCACAAGTTTAACAGTAGCTTAATGAGAGTCCAATTGCCTTAAACAGATGGGGCAGAGAAGGGGTGTATATAAACAAATGATAGTCAGGCAGATGAATGGATTAAAAAGATGAATAAATGGATGGGTGGGTGGATGGGTAGATGGATGAACAGAAGGATGGATGGAGGTAAGAATGGGTAGATGGGTGGATGGATGGAAGGAAGGGAGGGAAGGAGAGAGGGAGGGAACATGGAAGAAAGGATGAAAATGGAAAGATGAAATGAATAAAGGACAGAGAGGATGGGAGAAAGGCAGGAAGGAAGCGTAGGATCCCTGAGGATAGACACAGCTTACTTTTCTTTCTCTAGCCCCTGGCCACCCCCTGCCTAGGTCTCTAGCTGGCTCTGCACACAGAAGGCTCTAGCTCAGCACACATTAGCCAGCCGCCTCCACAAAGAACACCGAGGGGCCTCCCCATCTGGCGTTTCGGCTCTGCCCCATTTCCTGCTCCAAGGGTCTGTTGGGCTTTGGGTTACGCAGAGCCACCAGCTCACATGGCCTCTTCACCCTCAGCTTCCTTGAGTGTGGGGTTGTGTCCTCTTGAACTCAAGAGCCATCACCCGGCCAAATCCCTCAGCGTCTCATTAGCAGTGTCTGGAGCGTCTGGCCTGGCCAGTTGGGAGGAAATGACAGGGCTGGGAACAGACAAGGTCCTTGCAGTCATGGTGGAAGGACAGGCGTGAGCTCACATTCTCCCACACCACCCTGCACAGCACTACGCGCTAACCCGTTTACTGGAACACAACCATTTCCCAAAACTGGAACAAATGCCTGCTGGTCTTCCACGTGGCTCAGTGAGCTGGCTGACCACTCCATCAGGCCCTTTAAGTCCTTAGCAGTTGGCCTGATCTGATGACCTACTAGGAGGCCTCCAGGAGAGGCCCTCTTCGAAATCAAATAGCACCAGTTCTTGGGTGAGAAGGGAGGGGCAGGGGTACCTACAGACCCTCAATTCAAGTGCTCAGATTCCAGGCATGGGGAGGCTTGAAAAAACAGGGGCCTGCCAGGCCCATGTGGCTCAGTGGTTGAGCACCGACCTATGAACCAGGAGGTCCTGGATCCATTCTCAGTCAGAACACATGCCCAGGTTGTGGGCTTGATCCCTACTGGGGGGCGTACAGGAGGCAGCCAATCACTGATTCTCTCTCGTCACTGACGTGTCTATCTCTCCCTCTCCCTTCCTCTCTGAAATCAATACAAATGTATTTAAAGAAAGAAAAACCAAGGGCCTGGTAGGGCTAGCACTGGGAGGATATTTCGTGAGAGGCCACTCTGCTCCTTGGCTACAGTGTAGGTGGCCACCCTCATTTCTGGCTTGAGCACACCCCAAGCGTGGCATTAATAAACCAGGCTCTGGCGCCAGAGGAGCACGAGGACTCCTTCAAATGCAGGAGCGGGAGCTCGCGGCGGATGCCTTTCCCCAGGGGTGCAGGAGCATGCCATGCTTTTCGACGACCCATGAATGATATTTTTGCATTTTAATAGTTAAAATTGGAAAAATAAGCTTTCACACCACACCAAATTATTTCCGGGCATACAGCTTTATGTAAAATACACTAAGAAGAAGAAAAAGAGGAAGAGAATGAAGGACAAGGAGAAGAGCAATTGAAAGAAGGTGAGAAAGAAGAAAGAAGGGGTAGGAAGAGATGGTGATTGAAAAAATGTTACGTAAATTCATGGTTCAATTCCCGGTATAGGTCCCACCAGAATGCCCTGTCCCTGAGCTATCTTTCCACCCAAACTGGACCCAGACCCTTCCCTTCTCTGGCTTGGCCTGACCATGAACAAATCACCCAAAGTAACCCCCAAATCCTACTTCCTGAAGCCTAATTCACCCCAAGAGCGGCCACTTCTGCCACCTGGTATCTTTTTTCACATCCTGACCCCGCCCTCCTGGGGTTGGCTGGGTCTTGTCACAGCACCTCTATGTTTCTTCAAGCTCTGGCCACAGTTTTAGAGGACACACATGTTTTTCTGATTATGTGATGACCGTGGGCCTTGTCCACCTATCTAGAAGTGGATCTCCAGGGCCCAGAACAGACCCTGGCATTTCTGTACTGAGAGCTCCCTTAACTCCCTCGTGCTTCCAATGCACATCCCATAAAAGCTGGTAGGCTCCTCGAGGAAGTGAGTCGGAGGGGCAGCCCTCCAGTGGGTCCACTTTGTCTGGATGCTATGAACGGGCCAGGCTGGCCCCCCACCCTGACTATCCATTTCTAATAGGAAGTGTTTGCTGCAGAGAGTGCCTGGGGAGGGAGGAGGGTGGTAATGAACCTGCAGGGAGGGTAAGGGCCTGCACGAGCCCACCTGGGAGGTGATTCCAGCACGCAGGACTGCTGACGTCAGCACTGAGGTTCGGCGGGCTGAGTGGACAGGAGTCAGGCCCTGTGCTGGGGACATGCTATCTCATTTGGGAGAAGAACAATTATGGCCTCCACTTCATAATTAGGGCAACTGGTGTTTTCAACAGTTAATATGCCAGATCACAACTCCATAAAGGCTTGGAGTGTGGGCACAGATTCCACTGACTTCAAAGCCTGCTATATATTCATTATATATACATATTCATATATATGTATTCATTATATATATATATATACGAGCATGTGTCCTGACTGGTTCAACCACTGAGCCACTCCGGCCGGACTCAAAGCCTGTCCTTAATCGTTCTATTAATCCCTCTGTAGGAGTTTATCACATAC